AAGCCCTATAAATAATAGTCATGCAAAGGATCTATTTTTTAAGTCTAGTAGATTTTCAACATAATGTATCAACATGAATAGGTTCATTACTAAAAGTGGATATATCAAGTGATGTACTATAAGAAGTAATAATGGGTGAAGAATGAAAGGTATTAACAGAATTGATTTGTGTTGGAAACTCTTCATGGCGTGCGACATCTTGCTGTTCAACAGACCAATCCTCATCACTACAATCTATTATGTGAGGTAGCAAAAGTGCATTTAAAGACTTATTTAATGTGGATATAAAAGGAAAATGAGTTTCAAAAAAGTCAACATCAAGAGAGACAAAAAGTTTTTAAGATTGTAAATCATATACTTTATACCCTTTTATGTATGAAGGGCATATAAGAAATATACATTTGAGGGCTTTGATGTTAAATTTGAATTTACTAGGAGAAGAATAGGAAGAAAAGTACAAACAACATAATACTTTTAAATGGTTATAGATGAGAACAGAATTGAACAGCAGCTCAAAAAGGGTTTTATTCTTGATGATTGGAGATGGTATATGATTGATGAGATAGACGGCATGAAGCACACACTGCATCCAGAATTTTTGAGGCAAGCCTACTTGAATCTGTAAGAACCTTGTGACATTTAAGATGTGTTGATGTTTCTTTTCCACCACACCATTTTGTTGTGATATGTATGGATATGAACATTGATGTATTATTTCTTTTATAACAAAGAGTTCAGATGTGCTAAACTCCTTCTCGTTGTCAATTTTAATACATTTTATCTTTAAATTAAATTTTTTTTCCACAAATGCAAAGAAATTTATGGTATGCTGTCTTGTTTAAGCTTTATTATGCATAAGGTATACTGTAATATCCCATATACTTGATGGGGTATAAGGGTATTTGATAATATAAATAGATACAAGTGCAATAAAAAAAATGTGTGCATTAGAAACTTGAAATCCCTTACAACCAAAATATAGGATAAGTGTTTATACATCTAAGACCAACAAGGAGTCGTTGAATAGAAATACATAAACAAAAATTACTTAATTACAAAATTATTATTCATAAGAGTGCGGACAAAATAAGCATTCATAAATACTCTAGGGATCCGAAGAGGGGTCAAAGTAAGCTTCAAGGAGTACCATTGCATTCGACCCATCAATACCATCATCTGGGAGGTCCCAACATGAAAAGGGTGAGCTCCATGAAACTTAGTAAGGAAAACAATATTAAAACTACAATGCTAAGGTTTAAAAGGTTAATAACCTTAAGATAAACATTCTTACCCACTGAATGATATACCTTGGAGATCCATCGCGGAGAAAGACAGATTTAAACATTTAGAACACATTTGTTCTTTAAAAAAGTCCTTTTAAACATATCAGCAGAGCAACAATCCGTAGAGATAAGTAAAATCAGAAAATACTTTAAACATATTAAACAGAGAAACAATCCACGAAGATAGGCAAAATCATGTTTTCAATTAAAAACTAGTTTAAACAACAATGCAATTGACGAACAAACACAACGTAAGAAATAACCATATGTTTACGTCTTTTACTATTCTTCGTGCGAAACCATTCTGACATGTATCTACTGAGGGTAGAGGGAATGACGCTATTTAATTTCATATCAGTACGTTTCAATGTGCCAACCCTCAGCACCTTACGGTGTGTTAGACCATTATAAGGGTGGGATATATGACGATGACCGTAGGTCGCCATTGTGATCCCTACCTATAGTTTCGCGAATATGCTCTCGTTAAAGGGAACGCTCATTATTCACAGGGGTGGTTCACTAATATTTTCAGATTCAGAGATAAAGACAGAAGTAGAAGCCCTTCAGAGATAGTATCTTAATAGATTTTTAATCCTTTTTCAATTCATATCAGTCTGCAATTCACATATGCAAACCTGTGAGTTCCTTCCCACTTACCTCGGCACAAAGCCCTTCACAACAGAATTCAATGAGTATAGAACAGATCAACACAATGAAATACGATAGTCCATATATCACATGCTTTAAAATTATATAAGATAACAAATAATATCATACATTATTTCAGTCCAGTTATGTAATATAAAAAGAGCACTTAGAGGTATAAGTAGAAATAAAAGATCCCTTACCGATACTTGGCGAGTAACCGGGCTTCTAGAAGTGGAATGGAAGGGTGTTTTGCATCTAGGACTCCTTCAGTGACTCCTACGGGCTTCTTCCTTACTTTCTCTCTCTAGAACTTCATTTTCTCTCCCTAGAATTTTACTTTCTTTCTATAAAAAGTGAAAATGGAATAGAGATGAAGTGTGGCAAATGAGGAAAAAGAGAGCCTTTAAATAGATATGGAGAAGGCTTGGATGTGCACCACATGGCAAGCATCCAAGTGGGTGGTTGAGAAGTGGGTGAAGAGTGGGTGACCGTGGGACTTGCAAAGCATGGAGGAGCATAGGGTGGGTATGGGGCTTCTCGTCTTTTCCAGTTTTCCTTTCTTTTCTTTTTTTTCTTTTTGTTTTTTCTCTTTTCCACCTCTTATTTTATTTTATTTTATTTTATCTTTTTAAAAATTCATAATTATAATTTAAAGATAAAATTAAATTTAAATATTTTAAATAAACAAATACCAAATTTAATAAAATAAAATATGATAAAAATTAAAATAAAAAATATTAATAATTTAAAATACAAAAAAAAATTAATTACCGATAGAAATTCAAAATGGTCATTAGGTGCAAATTAATAGAATTTTGACCATACACTAAAGGACAAGGATTTGGAGTGTTGCATATACCCACATACACCGAGTCTTATCATCAACAATGATGAGGAAATAGTGGTGACCATGAAGTGAAACAATTGAAAATGGTCCCCAAATATCAAAATGAACTAAATCGAAACAATATATACTTAATGAGGTATTGTAAGGAAAAGAAAGTCTTTTTTGTTTACTATAATGACAAATATTGTACACAAATGAAGAACAAGGTAATATAAATTTATTCATTTGATGAAGAATTTGAATTCTTGGCAAAAAAGGATGACCAAGACGAAAATGTCACAAAGATTTATTTAAAATAACAGAAGAACAATCAAAAGAAATAGTTTGAACAACAGATTTTACAGCGATACAAGTCTTAGCCTTGTTGACTTCTAGATGAAACAACCCATTATTTTCTCTAGTTATACCAATCTTCCTCTAATTGTGAATATCCTGAATGACACAACAATGGTTCTGAAGTAATAAACTATATTTTGAGTTTTGTAATAGACAGCCAATAGAAATGAGGTTAAAAAAAAACTATGGGGCATATAACATATTATGCAGGACAAGATTAGGAAAAATAGTAATATCTCTAATATATATAACAAGTATGGTATGTGAATTAGGTAGTTTAATACATATATTGTCTATAGACCCATAAAAATCAAACATCTTAATACTACTAACTATATGATCAATAGCCCCACAGTCAATTATCCAATTATTTAGTTTAGAAAATGAAGGAAAAATAGTACCTAAACTTGAATCAGATTTGTAATTAGCTGTAAGAGTGTTGACTTGAGGCATTATTGGTGCTGTTGGTGTGCATCGGATCAAGGCAATAAGGTTTTCTTATTGTTCAAGAAGATTGTTGTTATGCTCTTAGTAGAGGAGAAAGGCATGTTATCTGAGATATTGCACTGATAGTTGAATCTCACGTGGGATTCAGCTGCTTCAGAAGCATTTTTTATATTCATAGTAGTGGCTTGATTGAAATTTGCTACATTTTGAGACATTGGCTTGTATCCTGGTGAATAATATGACCAACAAATCCATTATGAGTATAAATTGGCAATTTTCCATTACTAGTTACATAGTTTTTCTTACCAATTCCATTATTAGAAGTAATGGCCCTTGTTTGTTTATGATGAGAGACAGATTTATTTGTGTAAAGTATGTTTGATTCATATCATACAAAAGTACTTACACCGAGACTCCGCTCATGTTGTAAGACAAGCATAAAAACTTTATTAAAAGTTGGCAAAGCCTCAATGATCAAAATTTGAGACTTCACCATGCTAAAAGATTCATTCAGTCATTTTAAGAACTGTATTATTCTATCTTCTTCTACATACTTTTTACTAATATTAGGGACATTATAAACACACATCATCCCACACTTACAGATGGGAACTGGTCACAAATTCAAGAGCTCATCCCACAATATTTTCATCTAAGTGAAGTACTTAGTGATAGATTGTGTTCCCTACTTCAATGAAGATATCTCATCTTGAAGAGCATAAATACACATTATATTACTTCATGCGAAGCGATGATGCAAATCTTTCCA